GGATGATACAAAACTTCATTGATGAAGCCAGAATCAAAGTACGAAAAGGCTTTGCCATCCTTGTAATCCCCCATTAGCCTCTTCTGCAGCTGTACCTCTCCATTAGCCACAAGGTACTCTGCCATGTCCCCATACATAGTTGGTGGCCAGTGCTGCATCCCTTCTTCCTCTTTCTTCCAGCCACTTTTCAGGTCAACAAAGGGGTCGGGGAGTTGTCTGCCATCCACAGTCAAAAGTGATCTGTAGTCTTCGCATCTAACAAAATAAACAGTATGGTGTCAATCATAGAGATCAAATCAATGTGGAGATGAGTTTGAAATATATCGTTGGTCCCTAAATGAAAGACCGTTCTGGTTCATTTCTAGACTATTCTGTATAAACATTTATTAGATGCAACAATGGATGCAAGTATAATTTATGTAGGTGAATTTGGAACTCGTTAGGTCCCCTTGGTTACTACATTTTCTAGACAAGTAACCTTACATGTTCAAACAATGCCTAGAGTTCTATGTACAAAACAGTCGTAGTAAAATCGCCCATGCATACGATGAAGGGTGGTTATAAGGACTACACAAATACAGACATGGAACCCTTATTTACACGTGAACATGTACAAAGAACAAGGAAAATCACCTCTTTTGTTGTTCTTCCTCGGGAGTCGGAACCAACGGATGGCGCATTACTGTGGCTGAAAAAGCTAGGGCCCTGAGTTCATGGACGCTACCCGTCACCGGAAGTCCCCTCGCTCGCAAAAAAGGCTGCAACTGGCGTTTTGGCCAAAGTTTAAAGCCATCCAGCGATGTTTCTGCATCTGGCGTGATTGGAACGCCAGCCATTGTTTACATACATCCGAAGTGACACTGAACCTTGACCCGGACCACAATGCATCGCGCGCGCACATGCGCAGTCGGAACTGCGAGGAGGCTTATAGCAGCAGGAGTGTTAGTACTGTTACACAACTCAACGAGATCTTTTAACCCTCCTTGCCTAACTAAACATCCCAGGCTAGCAAACTTTGAGAGAAAACTGAACATTGATCAGTGGTCATCGGGAGAACATGATGAAACACTGGACCAACCGTACAACCTCTAGAGTGTACCAGAATGCCATGCTGAAACAACATACTACGAACTGCTATGTTCTAGCAGTATTAGTAGTGCCTGTGTAGACCACATTTGGCGATCATAAATCATAACACTGAACCTGTAAGACTGGATCTGTCCCAGTTTTTTTTGGCCTGAGAGCGCTGTGCACTACAAAGTCCCGAGGGCAAGGTCTGCCTAGCCTCCACCAGGCTTCGGAAATTGGCTGGGAAGAGTAGAAATCGGCTAAAATATAGAGATAACATGCCGGGGGAGTTGGTCTGCTGGAGATGACATTTTGCCGCTCCGGTGCGGGAAAATGTAACGTTACTCTCTAGCGGACCAACTCCCCCGGCATGTTATCTCTATATTTTAGCCGATTTCTACTCTTCCCAGCCGCTTTCCGAAGCCTGGTGGAGGCTAAGGCCTGCCCCTAACAGCATGGGTACGTCACACATGTCGCATATGGTCTCATCGCAGGTTCCCAACTAGTCGCACAGATTTCCTACCTCTAGCTACGTTGATCGTAAATCCTTGTTGTAACGTTACTAGGTCGTGAGTTACGTTACTAACCTGTGAAGCCACGGATGAGACCTGCGCCACTGGCTGTAGTTGAGAGAAAAAGTCGGACGTGTTGTAACGTTAGTGTGTACGTGTGTGTCTGCTCTGGTCTTCTCTCCAACCCGGATATGGCCCCGTGACGCGTGGGTGTGACGGAGGCGTGACACGACCTACCGGAAATGATTGTTTGCTAGGGACAAACCGTTAACTCACGTTATCAGATTCTCCCCAGTGGTTTGTGTTATCCACACGCCGTCTTCGTGAAGTTCATGAAGTTCTAATGTATCTTTACGTGATATCCAAACTGAGAAACTTAGAGAGGTCTACTCTGTTGTATAATGTAAAAACTTATACAGACCCTTTTGTATATTTACTGGTTTGTCCCCGCGCCCTTCCCGGGTCATCGCGAGATGTTGTCTAAATCTCGCGAGAACTGCACGGGAAGCGGAAGTGAGGTAAAAAGCAGTGAGGAAGCGAAAAGAACTGAACTGAAGAACTGCGTGCTCAACAAATGCCGCGACATTTCTAACCCTAGCCTGCCCGTTTTTAACACCGTAGAACCTCTGTCACCATGCTAGATCTGTTCACCATCTTCAGTAAGGGCGGGATCGTCCTCTGGTACTTCCAGGGGGTGAACCAAGTCCTGACGGAGCCGGTCAACGCGCTCATCAAGACCGTCATACTGCAGGTAACGCTTTGCAACATCTGCTTGGTGCTATCTTTATACACCGGGCAAAACAACCCAGAAAGTAACTTTTCAAAGTTATAGACTGAAGTTTTCTCATAGTTGTGGTTATACGTTTATTATGTATCATGTGAAATACAGGAGGGAACCAAATTACCTACGTATGATCACAGTAATTTAGAAGCTTATAGTTAAGTGTAAGTGTAACGTTACCATATGGAAGACCACCTGTAAAATAGTTACCATCATCATATCTTGTCTTTCACCTGTTTCTGTTCATTGTAAGCCGTTGATCAACTAATTACTCATAATGCATGATTACCACTGAACAACCATTTAGTGGTACAGAATAGATTATAATGAGTGGTTTTTGGTTGTATGATAATATCATATCCTGTTTGGGATCCTGGATCTAAAAACAAGTCAACAAAATGAAATAATTAGTGTCAATTTTTACACAAAGTTGCATGTTTGTGTCCTTTTTTCGACCATAATGAAGCATATGATTATGTGGATAGCATAAGCCTGGATATGTATGTAAGGAGATTACAATAATTCTTCTTTATCTTCTGTAATCAATTATATAATATGGAGCACTTCAGACTGCACTGTAACCATACAACTGCAGTACATCATGTCCTTGCAGTATTTTTGTCAGCTTGAAGGTTGGTCTTGGTCTTGGGGGTTAAGGTAGCCAACATCAACTTGCCGATGATTCTGCTACACTGTAGTATTTAGGCTGTAGAATTTTTGGACCATCGCACACCGGGCCGGGGGTATGCCCCTACTCTTTTTCGAAAGGTGTGGTGGGTTCTTAAACCTGCTCGAGGTGTGGCTCTCCTCAAACACGGGACCTCGATTTTACACCCTATCCGAGGGACGTCCCTAACCTAGGTACTCATTTACACCTAAGTGATGTGAGGAAAGTCGTGTAAAGTGCCTTTCCCAAGGCACAAAATCGGTGACATGGGTGGGGATCGAACCCTGGACCTCTAGGTCCCGAGCAGAACGCGCTACCGCTGCGCCACACGACCCCACTACCATTGACTCCCATCATCATGTCTAAGTTAACAGTTACTGTAGTTCTGTGTAATCCTGTTGTTTCTTCAGGAACGTGGGAATGTCAGCTCCTTCCAGCACGGCTCCCTCACACTGGAGTACAAACTGGACAACGAGTTCGAATTGATATTTGTGGTAAGATACATGTACATGTACATTCATGCTGCACTCCAGTATTGGTGCAATCATTTGTTTGCTGTACTGTACGGTACCTGTAATGTTTGATCACTTCTTCTCACTAAATTGCGGGACTGTATTTTCAGTATCAAAACTATCATGACCATGTCTGTCAGTGTGTCAGATAAATGTGTAGGTTGAAGTAAGGATGTTATATCAAGTCCTTGGTTTAAGCTACAGTCTTCAGTTCATGTCTATCAATGGCTTTCTTAACTAGAAGTTTGTGTTCTGATACAGAAAAGTGTGATTTGCAATGTTCCAAGTCCTTTTCTCACTTTCCAGGTTGCGTATCAAAAGATACTTCAGTTGTCGTATATTGACAAGTTTATCGACGATGTTCGTCGGGAGTTTCGCGACAAATACGCGCAGGACCTCCGGGACGGACACGTCATGCGAGACTTCGACTTCACGGAGGAATTCCAGCGACTCCTGAAGTAAGTCTGATAACTTTGCTGCATGCAACATGTTACATGGAATACTGCTGAGTTGGTAGAATATCAGTGATCTAATTGTTGGTAAAGTATATAATGATATGACAAAAAGTTCTAAATGTTCTTGCCAACACTGAGTAAATTGGGACTCCGTCAGCCTTGTTCACAGAAAGGACCCTTCTACTGCAGCTTCCGGGACGTGACGTCATAAACATGTGATTGCAGCAGAGGGCCGTACGTGTCAGATAACCTGTGCCCCCCCCCCCCGTCTCTGCTGCAATCATACGTTTCCTACATCACTTCCCAGAAACTGCAGTAGAAGGGTCCATTCCAATTTGGATAAGTCCCAATTTACTCAGTGTTGGCAAGAACGTTATACTGAATATCTTATTTTGTTTGTGTAGGAAGGCAGAAGCCTCCGCTAAGAACCAAGCGAAGCAGCCGAGGCAGATGAGGACATTCGAGGAGTCTCAGAAGTCCCAGAAGTCTGTGGCCTCCCTCAAGGTCGACAAGAAGAAGGAGAAGGAAAAAGAAAACGTGGGGAAAAAGAAAGGGAAGACTCGTAAGTATGTTTCTCCATCAGCTTTGGAGTCAGGGAGGATGGGTGATGAGTACCCTGTAGTAGTATCCAGTCTTTGATCATACTGCTGCAGTCACTAGTCTTCACACTACATTTTCAAGAGACAATGTCTAGTGGGTCCACACTGGCAAGGCCACACTCTCTAGTCTAATGTCCTTCTTGCGCATGTCATGTGTGTCGACTATCCGTGTCAGTATACATGATCATGTATTTGATGCGAGTTTATTGATATATCATTTACGCCTCTCTCCAACCTGTAGGTGTTTTTGTGGGATTGAATCCTGTTTGTTTGTAATATTTCAGCCGCTGAACCAGCTGCACCAGCCGCTGTTATCAACGGGGGGACTGTGAACTCAGGAGGGGGAGGGGGTCAGACCGGAGGGGGAGGGGTGGGGCAGGACACCATCCTACGCAACCGAGAGGAGTTCTTCAAGAAAATGACGGGGAAGGGAGGCAAGAAGAACACGGGGTGAGGAAGGAGAACTTCTGTTTGTGAATAATTTCATAAGGTTGGCGAGAAAGAAGGTTCTTTATTCATCAACCAGTGTTTTTTTTAACATCCAACATTTCTGTGACCTTTTTCCGTGACTGTCTGTTGCCTTTTTTAGGGCAGCTAGACTATCGTAGTTCTGCCAAAAAGCAGAACAACGGTCTGGTCTCTCAGTCACTGACGAAAGCTAGTGTATACTAGCTGAAACGTCTGACGTTTTCAAAATCATATCCAGCTGCTTTTTGGCGTAGCGCATTACCTGGATGTCTAACCTTCATCGACGTACCGTAGTTCTCATTCATACTGCAGCTAGGTGTCGCTGCTGCAGTGTTTAAAATGCAGTCCCAATTGTATTATCACATAATATATTACATGTACACACACACATAGTGATGCATACCTAAACCCAATTTCAGGTTCAGGTCCGGATTCAAGTCCAGAGGTTTAGGTTCAGGTCCGGACTTAAGTCCGGACCTAAACCCATGGCATATACAAAATTGCATGTTGGCAACCTTGCAATGTTGTCTGGGTGAAACTTTGGCCACATAACATGGAGGCTGGTACTTGACGATGCCTGATGGCAATGTTTTCTTCATTTGGCAGCAAAGATTTTGGAATCTACGGAAGGTTTTAGGTGGTTTAAAAAGAAAAGGGGTATGTGAAATGGTCTTTTATGGTAATAAGTCCGGACTCGGTTCTTGACTTTTAGGTTTTTTTGGACTTGAACCTAAACATGTTTACAAGTCCGGATCCAAGTCCAGTGAACCGGTATGCACCACTACACACACATATATAATATCTAGAAGCTTTTGCTCGAAAAACTTTTATAGGTCAGTGATAGCTTCAATGGAAATTTGTGAATTAGAGCTCAGAGCTCGTTCTTACCCTAAACTTTTTTAATCACTAAGAAGTATACAAAGAATCACCCTGCAGTTCTACCTAAAGAAATTGTGTTGAAATATTAACTGGTTACCTGTAACAAGCCACCACTCTTTTTAAAGCTGGTTGAATAACCTCTCTTTTATAAGCCTCCCCGCAAATATTTGCGGAGAGGCTGTAGGACTCGGGAACTATAGTAGGTTTAGTAACCAGGCTACTTTTATGCCGAATGTTGAATATTGAGGTTTAAGAGTTTTTACTTCTTCCCAAGACTCGAGGTCTTCAGCACTAATGCCTGACTTGTTATTCCCAGAGCCTCCCCCAAACCTGAGAAGGAGAAGAAGAAGGGAAAAGCCCCGACCAAGTGGGCCAACGGAGGCTCCTCCAAGGACGCCAAGATCCTGGACTTCAGCGGAGACAAGGAGAGCAACGGGAGCATGGCTGGGGCCGGGGAGGAGGACCTGGGGGATGCTGAGGTGAGGACTTCAACTTATTCAAATTATCAGATGGAGATGTGTATTATGATGATGGTGATGATGACATGATGATGATGTGTAAGATGATGAGGATGGTGATGATGATGTGTATGTGGATGGTGATGATGTGGATGATGATGATCGTGATGATGATGATGTGGATGATGATGAAGATGAGGATGATGTTTTGTATGGTGATGATGATGTTGATTAAAATGAAGATGGTGATGTGTATGATGATAATGTGTATGATGATGGTGATGAGGATGATAGTTGTAATGATGATGATGATGATGATGATGGTGATGTTGAGGATGATGATGTTGTGTGTGACTTTCCTGTCAGCGTGCCTGGGTGGGGTCCATGAGTGGAGAGCTGAAGAGCGTCGGAGATGTGTACGATGATGATGATGATGATGAAGAGGAAGAGGAAGAAGAAGAGATTCAGCAGCAGCACAGTAAGAAGTCCAGGTAAGAATCATGTCTCGTTCTTTTGGCTTAGCTTTGTTTGACATATTCCATTGGTGCATCAGTAACTGTGCCCGGTGTAATGGCCAAGTGGGTAGAGTGCGCGCCTTGCGTTCGGTAGGTCGTGAGTTAGATCCCCGGCCGAGTCATACCAAAGACTTTAAAAATGGTCCATACTGCTTTCTCTGCTTAGCACTCAGCATTTGAGAAAGAGTATGGGAGTTGGGAGTTAAACACACACCACTACCAGTGAACTAGCCCCCTGCTGTAGTGGCCTGTGTGTATGGGAGTTGGGAGTTAAACACACACCACTACCAGTGGACTAGCCCCCTGCTGTAGTGGCCTGTGTGTATGGGAGTTGGGTGTTAAACACACACCACTACCAGTGGACTAGCCCCCTGCTGTAGTGGCCTGTGTGTATGGGAGTTGGGAGTTAAACACACACCACTACCAGTGGACTAGCTCCCTGCTGTAGTGGCCTGTGTGTATGGGAGTTGGGAGTTAAACACACACCACTACCAGTGGACTAGCCCCCTGCTGTAGTGGCCTGTGTGTATGGGAGTTAAACACACACCACTACCAGTGGTCTAGCCCCCTGCTGTAGTGGCCTGTGTGTATGGGAGTTAAACACACACCACTACCAGTGGACTAGCCCCCTGCTGTAGTGATTACAGAATTGTGTGGCCCAACGGCTACAAACGTTAACAAAAGTTTGCTAGTGTTGACCCAGAGTTGTTGAAAATATGTAGTACTAAAATCTGCCTTTTTGGCCCGTGATTGACGATGAAAGTTAGACGTCCAGGAAGTGTGGTGCACAAGAAAACTGTCGCTCAAGCAACTGGAGAGATTTTGAAAATTGAGTAACTGTTATGTAACTGTTATATTGTGTACCATAATTTGTTCATGTGTGTTTTTTTTTCCAGTGGTTTCGGGGTGTTCAACATGTTCAAAGGTCTGGTGGGGCAGAAGACCATCACTGCGGAGGCCATGGCTCCGGTACTGGACAAGATGAGAGATCACTTGATCGGTAAGGAGAGACTTCTACAACAAGGCTACTACTAATACATGTACTACCACGACTGTCAGTCAGTCTCAAAAAACTTTAAACTGCACAAAGCAAATATACAGGATGGCTCATTCCTTGTGACAATACAAATTAGATTCGAGCCTAAAGTCATCCTACAAATATGGTGTCCAAAGTCCAAGTTAGAGTTCATTGTTCATGGTGCTTGGTTGGCAGCGGTGGCCGTATGTCATCAGCGCACAAGAAAGGCAACAGGCTTTCTCATGAACTGTCATACTACACATGCATGTCTCTGTATACTTCAAGTGCTGGTACAATGTATTTTCTATTCTTGTACAATGATACTAGTAAGTATTCCATTAAAGTACTGGGGAAATGTCTCTGGCATAGAGCAACAAAAAACTTTTAGCCCATAGATGATATACCTACATGTAGAACTCTGTTGTAAAGTACAACATGTAGTTAGCCAAGGAATAGGAAGAATTGAAGCACTAATTTGTATGTCCCAAAAGCCAACAAAAAACTGTTTCATTGTAGATTCTGATGATGTACCTAGAATAGTATGATGCGGAACTTTATTCCAACTGAAAGGAGTACAAGGATCAAAATCATGATGAAGGCGACAGTGGTGGTTAAAAATGTGGTCTTGTGTTCCTTTGTGTTGGAAAAAAGTTAAGCATCGTACCATGATTACTACCAACACAGAATGGACTTACAAGTCTTACATGATAATTTCATGTACATGTACCTAGAACTCTGTAGTGAAAGACGTAGCCAAGGATAAGCCAAACTGAAGCACTAGTTTGTATGTCCCTCTCCAGGTAAGAACGTAGCCGCCGACATCGCTGACCAGCTGTGTACTTCAGTAGCAACCAAGCTGGAGGGGAGAGTCCTCGGTACCTTCAGTGGTAAGTGAGGATATGTATGCTTTTTTAAAACCATATGCAAGAAAGTCTGCCTTTTTCAGCAAAAATTTTCATTGTAAAATGCTCAGCCTTAGTAGTGATTATGGAGTCCCTAGATAAATAAGATAGATGAAAATGAAATGAAACCTGTTCCGTCCTGTGTGTTTGTAGGCGTGACGTCCACCATCCGGCAGGCGATCCGAGACTCCCTGGTGCAGATTCTGACCCCGAAGCGCCGAATCGACATCCTGCGAGACGTGATGGAAGCCAAGAGTCAGAACCGCCCGTACACCATCACATTCTGTGGGGTTAACGGTGTGGGCAAGTCTACCAACCTGGCCAAGGTAAGGACAAACAAACAAACAAACAAACAAACATCACACAGAACAGCCCTTACACAAACCTGGCCAAGGTAAGGACAAACAAACAAACAAACAAACATCACATAGACCTGCCCGTACACCATCACCTTCTGTGGGGTTAACGGGGTGGGGGAGTCTACCAACCTGGCCAAGGTAAGGACAAACAAGCAAACAAACAAACATCACACAGAACCGCCGTACCCAAACCTGGCCAAGGTAAGGACAAACAAACAAACTAACAAACAAACATCACATAGACCTGCCCGTACACCATCACCTTCTGTGGGGTTAACGGGGTGGGGGAGTCTACCAACCTGGCCAAGGTAAGGACAAACAAACAAACAAACAAACAAACATCACATAGACCTGCCCGCACACCAACCTGGCCAAGGTAAGGACAAACAAACAAACAAGCAAACATCACATTCTGTTGTTTCACCATTCTTGCAGCTTGGTGACTGTTTTGTGTGCAGCATCGTGATATTTACTCTAGTCAGTCTTACTGTGGTGTGCATGAAACCAAGGAGGTTCAATTCAGAATTCCTTGATGACACTCAGACATGACTCTTACTGTTGCCTTGTTGTTCCCCCAGATCTGTTTCTGGTTGGTGGAGGTTTCCGTGTGCTGATCTAACGTTGCCTTGTTGTTCCCCCAGATCTGTTTCTGGTCGTGGAGGTTTCCGTGTGCTGATCTAACGTTGCCTTGTTGTTCCCCCAGATCTGTTTCTGGTTGGTGGAGGTTTCCGTGTGCTGATCTAACGCTGCCTTGTCGTTCCCCCAGATCTGTTTCTGGTTGGTGAAGAACAGTTTCTGCGTGTTGATCTATTCGTTTTTGCTGTTTCACCCATCTTGCAGCTTGGTGACTGTTTTGTGATGTATCAGTCTCACTGCGATGCACACAACACTCAGACATGACTCGTAACCTTCCCTTGTTCTCCCAGATCTGTTTCTGGTTGGTGGAGGTTTCCGTGTGCTGATCTAACGTTGCCTTGTTGTTCCCCCAGATCTGTTCTGGTCGTGGAGGTTTCCGTGTGCTGATCTAACGTTGCCTTGTTGTTCCCCCAGATCTGTTCTGGTTGGTGGAGGTTCCGTGTGCTGATCTAACGTTGCCTTGTTGTTCCCCCACGATCTGTTTCTGATTGGTGGAGGTTTCCGTGTGCTGATCTAACGTTGCCTTGTTGTTCCCCCAGATCTGTTTCTGGTTGGTGGAGGTTTCCGTGTGCTGATCTAACATTGCCTTGTTGTCTCCCCAGATCTGTTTCTGGTTGGTGGAGAACGGTTTCCGTGTGCTGATCGCAGCGTGCGACACGTTCCGGGCCGGCGCGGTGGAGCAGCTGCGGACGCACGCCCGGCGCATGGCGGCGCTACACCCGCCCGAGAACCACGGCGGCGTGAAGATGGTCCAGCTGTACGAGAAGGGATACGGCAAAGACGCGGCCGGCATCGCCATGGAGGCCATCAACTTTGGTGGGTGTTTTTTCAATCTAAATATTAGTAGTAAATGAGACAACTAGACATTTTTAAATGTTTATGTAAGGATACGGCAAGGACACAGCTGGCATAGCCATGGAGGCCATCAACTTTGGTGGGTGTTTTTCAATCTAAATATTAGTAGTAAATGAGACTACTAGACATTTTTGAATGTTTATGTAAGGATACAGCAAGGACGCGGCCGGCATCGCCATGGAGGCCATCAACTTCGGTGGGTGGTTCTCGTGTTACGCATTTCTGCAGTTCTGCTTAACCAAATATAACTGAGATAGTACTATGTTTTACTAATGTACAGGGCTAGGGTAAAGATGCAGCCGGGATAGCCATGGAGGCTAGTAACTTCAGTGGGTGGTTCACGTGTTACACACTTTTGCAGTTCTGTTTAATCAAAAGTAACTGATACAGGACATTGGAGTGCATGTTAACACTAGACTAGTATGTTTTACTAATGTACATGTTGATGGAAGGGCTAGCTAAATAATGGTTAGGATGCAGCAGGCAGTGTGATGATCCTAACACTGCATGTTGTCTGTTTCAGCTCGTGAGCAGCACATTGATGTGGTGTTGGTGGACACGGCCGGCCGCATGCAGGACAACGAACCTCTCATGAGGGCTCTGTCCAAGGTGGGTTGGAACTACTATCTCAGATAGTTACCACACCTGTGTAACACCTGTACCACACCTGTGTAACACCTGTACCACACCTGTATAACACCTGTACCACACCTGTGTAATACCTGTACCACACCTGTGTAACACCTGTACCACACCTGTGTAACACCTGTCCTGTGTACCACACCCGTGTAACACCTGTGTACCACACCTGTGTAACACCTGTCCTGTGTACCACACCTGTGTAACACCTTTGTCACACCTGTACCACACCTGTGTAACACCTGTACCACACCTGTGTAACACCTTTCCTGTGTACCACACCTGTGTAACACCTGTATACCACACCTGTGTACCACACCTGTGTAACACCTGTCCTGTGTACCACACCTGTGTAACACCTGTCCTGTGTAACACCTGTGTACCACCTGCCACACCTGTGTAACAC